CCCACCCCTGTCGGCCCATGAGCGTGGTGGCAGATCAGCTGCCCACAGCGCCTTATTACGACACAACATCACCTGGGGGGCGTACATGTTTGTGAGGGGCGCACCTCTGGTTGGCTGCTTGCTCGCGGTCACGTGACGTACTTCAACCAATCTGTGCCGCGTTAATCACAATAACAGAATCACAGAATGACAGACTGGGGTGTTAATATCTATTTATACTAACCACAGTACAATTAAAATGACAACCACAACAGCCGCAATATAACCACAACCATAGCCACAACTACATGATAACCACAAGCAAAATAATCACCACATATAGCTGGGTGGTGGTGTTACATGCCTGTGTAATAACGACTTGACACACTTCTCTTGAGATGGCACTTTATTGAAGACACGTTCACTTGACATCAGGCGAATACCCCACTACAACAGCCCCAAGTCTAACACCGCATCATCCTTAAAAATCAACACAAGGCCACGCCCCCCTTCTCAATCATTCTCGCTGACTCTGGACGCTCGCTCCACCGGCAGACTCCACCGTCCTCTTCCATCGCCTGACCACGCTCCCTTCTCGAACATTTACGTAGCCACAAGTCCCTTCACACTCACAGCTGACTCCCCTGTCATTACCTCCCGTGGCCACTAGTCCATTCGCACTGCAGGCTAACTCCTCTGTCATTACCTCCCGTGGCCACTAGTCCCCTCACACCGCATGCAGGCTCTATTATCATTACACCTGTGTAGTGGCATAGTGTAGTAGTATACCGCTGGCTGCTGGCAGGAAAGGGGATCTGCGGCGTACGGCAGCCTTGACGTCAGCAGGACAGGATAGACACGAGAGGGGGATCTAGGGGAAATGTCACAGAAGGGGCACAAGAACCCGCTAGTAGGTTCCAGAAAGGGGGCGTGGCCAGGGATGGAGTGAAGCCACGCTGACACTATAAGAGGGGCCCCTGTAGGGGACCTCGGGGCTGTTGTTGGAGTGGGATCTCCGTCATGCTGCTGAAGTCGTCTTCACCGTTCTTCTCGTGCTCTCCGTCTTCACCATCTCGGGGCGCCACCAGTCAGGCAGCCTACCAACTGTCCTGACTGAGTAGCAATAGACGGACTAATTACTAAGCGTGTTATCCTCGATGGTGCTTGTTAATAAAGAAGTGCCTCCAAGTCTTATCGTCTCCGAGTTAGTCACTACACATGTAATCCAGGATTGTGGAGGCGGGGGTTGATGGGTCACCCAAATGTTGTGAAACTCCCTTCCCATGGGTGTCAGGATACCACACCCTGGCTTGCCAGAAGACAATACAAGTGGTTTAATTGCCACCTACGGGTAGCCCCAACTTACAGACCAGGTTCCGTTCCGGAGGCCTGTTCATAAGTCGAACGGTTTGTATTTTCCATAAAGTGTTGCCCCCTCACGCGTGGGTTTCTCCGGGTGCCCCGATTTCCTCCCACAAATATAATGGATCATTGGCTGGAAACATCTAAAAAAATAAAACCCAATAAAAAAATTCCCCTCTAACTCAGTGTGGCTTTCCTGGATAATTAAGTCAATTGATATTATAAGCACAACAACCACCAAATTATAACCATAACCCAATTACTGTACTGCACAAGTGTAGTGGCCTTATTGACGTCGGAGACTGTTCATTGGAGGCAACACGTATTTATTACAGACGCTTCATTTACAGTGGCGAATCTGATACTTGAAGAGGTAACGGCCTCTTCACCCGTACTCTACAGAGGGAACGTTCCCCGAGCTTTAGCCCACGCTAGCTCCCTGGTTCCCTCTATCCTGGTCCTCTCTCAGGAGGCTGTCTGACCTGGCCCAGCTTCGGCGCAGGTCCCGATCACCAGCCCCACGAGTCCGGCCCTCAGAAGGACATGGGGCCTCGTGGCTCTGGTGTCATACCCTGGCTTGCTTTGCCCGGCCCTCAAAAGGACAGCAGGCCAAAGGAGTTCCAGGGTCTGGCTAGTCGATCTTCTTTCTTCACTGGCTCTTCATCTTGCTTGAGTCGAACTCCCTCTCAGCTCTCCTGGTCCCACCTTTTATACTGTCCCTCACTGAGGGGTGGGGCCAGGAGGGATCATAGCGTCCCCCACAGCCCCCCAGGGTGGTGGCCGTAGCGGACGTGTTTGTGGCCACCGCCCTACAACCGCGTGTCACCCTCTCGTAACACCTCTACACAAGCATAACCACATCACAGGCCTGATGACGCGTTTAAATGCCATACCTTAGTGAATGTGGACTTGAGCACTGCCTAATACACATGTTTTTCCTGTTTCAGCGGATTAATTAAAATTAATTAATGGATATTATGTATATCTATAAACACCTTACTCTTTGGTTCTTTCGGTAAAGTCACGTAGAAAGAAATTAAATAAAATAATAATAGAATACGACATTTCGATTTTTAACACAAGCAACCATCATCAAGGTACAAATGAATGAGACAACAAACCTAGTAAACTTGGAAATATAATGCAATACAACACAGAGAGATGGCCAACAAAACAGTCAACACCCCACCTAACCGTTCGGATAGCAACCGCCTTCGTGTTACGTGGATGCGAATATTCAAATAACACACTATTTAAATGCGTGCGTACAAAGGGCAGCGTACTTCAAAAAGGATTACCGTTGGTAGGGCTATTTTAACAAACACAATATACAGGAAGGGCAAGTTCAAAGGGCTTGCATAATGCACATGCATAATGTGCGTTGACTCAGTAATCCCCCCTTCCCCACATTTTGCAAGAGCACAGAAATGTGGTCACCACATCTACGCCTCTATACAAGGAACGAAACAGTAAGACTTCTCTACAAATCTGGCTGTCGCCTGATGAAGCTGGTTGTAATTACTGGCGAAAAATCGTAATCAGATTGTAAATATTGTGGCTTGGCTCTCCAACACACCGGTGTGCTGTACTAGTGACGAATTGGCCACGTTCTGTTTACGTGACAAACCTTACTAGTTGGCTGTGTCGGGTGGTGGCCGGTTTTAACGACACATTCATATATTTACGCGATCTAACCCAAAAACCTCTATTATGGATGTATTTCACAGGTAAGGCCGATAAATTGATAGCAGTTTACAGACCATTGTAAATTTGCAAACTAACAACATGCATGTAATTATCGAAAGAGATGCCCATTAGTATTTAGGTTTAAGCACAATGGCCACATGAGCTTAGGAATGTTGCTAGATATGAGTAGCGTTACTTCCGAGAATAACAATTGAATGCAAGGAAGCTTATGAAAAAAATTTAAATGATTCTAGAGAGATTTCATAAATGGGAAGATTAATCCGAACCAGTGTGCCGTATCAAAGGCAAACAAATGTAAGTATAAACTTTAAAAAGACTTCATGCTAATAAACTAAACTAATGACTTCACTACACTCCCTAAACATGATGCCACTATTCATAATATTGTTAATAATGTACATGTGTGTATGTATGTGCTTAGTTATGTGCAATCATTTGTTCGCACATTTGCTTGTGTAGTATAACGCAATCCCTGTGTATGTACACTGCTGTGTATATCCACTCGTGTGTGGGTGTGTGTACATGGGAGTGTATACGTGTACTCTTGTATGTATTGGAACACACAACTTAGTATAATATTGTGTCATACAAAGAATTGAGGGGCAACGTGGTAATTGGTGTCACATTCATTGTATTATTTTAATTATTTGCTTCCACGTAACACGAAGGCGGTTGCTATCCGAACGGTTAGGTGGGGTGTTGACTGTTTTGTTGGCCGTCTCTCTGTGTTGTATTGCATTATATTTCCAAGTTTACTACGTGTGTTTTCTCATTCATTTGTACCTGATGATGGTTGCTTGCGTTGCATTTCCTGCAGTCACGAAAGCTTCGAATCTAGTTTATATATACCTTGCCAGGTATGGAGGAGGTCGTGGCTTCAATATGACCCTGACGCCTGCATATTTGGAGTTTGCGTGTTCTCCCCATTCTCAGGTAAACATTTATCTGGGTTCTCCGGGTTTTCCTTCCACATTTAGAATCCTTACGTATTTGGCTGCTATAAATTCCCACGTGATAAGCTACTTGGTTGAGCTATCTTTTGTGGCGAGGTCGTTTTAAACAAAAGAGCTTTATAGCTCAGTGGACCTAACCAGTTAAAATTAAAAAAAAGTTAAATTTCGGGTTTAGTTTACATTCCCTCTGGCTCTTTGCAGCTCGGTGATTTTTTTAAATGATTGCAAATGTTTCCCGCACCTCTGATTAATTATGGTTAGAAATGAATTGAACATACAATGTTTACAGTAAATTAAAATACAACCAAGTTGGTTAACTGCTACAATAATGGTTCAACTCAGTTATTTACTGTGTTAATAAATAAAGCTATTTGTGCTTGTGCACCACTGCCAAATAACGCGTCTCATAACTTAATCACATGGTGATTAAGAGTAGCCATGTGCACATAAACATTGTGAGGTGACACGATGGATCAATGCGGTTCGAGAATTCTGCAGCTCTGTTCACGGTGCTCTTGGTAGTCAACATCCACAACCTCCGATTAGCACGGTTGGCTATGTACGGTGCGAAAGAAGTTCAACAACTTTCTGACCCAGCCCGGACATGGTTGTCGATAGCTCCCAACACCCCAACTGTCAGCCCTGCCCACTTTTATATAACCACACCTACTACTCAGTTCGCCACGCCTACTGTCAGGTAGCTCCGCCTACAACTCAAGTAGCCCCGCCTACTGCTCAGGTAGTCCTTCAGGTAGTCTTGTTCACATTAGCCTTACCCGCTGTCTATAAATATTCGCAGTTTAATGTGCGTGTGAAGCTACGTATTCGCTCAAATATGGACAAACCAGCTGCAGGCGATGAAGTTGCGCGATTTCGAGGACAGTTTGGTTTTCACAACTCAGCTGTGAATCCGGCTTCAGTTGCAGCACCACTCATGCCCGATCACGGCCACAGACTTTTCGATCAGTTCTCCAACATTACAGAGACGCAAACTCGGGATTATTTCTACATCTATTTATTTGGCCCATCAAACATAAGCAGGGCATTTTCCAATAAATGAACACACCAAACACCGTCACTTTTAATGTTACCTATGTCATAAATGCATACCTGTCAACCCGTACAGTTTAACTGTATTCTTGTACAGGGAAATTGAGTTTTGAGGTCCATACGGCGTACAGCCATTTCAATACGGGCAAAAAAAATGTGTTGTCTATTTGTTTGTGTTTCTCCCTTGTGATGGGACTTTGTAGGATGAACGTTGAGATTTATAAGGGGCACGGGGTGACCAATAAGGTCTGAGTTGGTCTGTAATAAGGTAGGCCACTGATAAGGGGTGGACAGGTATGCAAATGTAAGACGTTGAGACTGGCGACAGCATGGCAGACAAGGAGAGATTGGCTGACCAGTGTAGCTTAGATCGTTTCCTTGCAAACCGAGTCCATTGTTATCAGTTGGCTCCCCATGGTGAAAAAAAAAATCACAACGGAATAAACAAGGAATGGAAATTTACGCATATGGTTAGGTTCTGTAAACGCTTTCTAACAATGCGATTGTCCTCTGAAGTTTTTGCTTTTAAATTACAACAGTCAAGCAATACGTCCGTAGGCCATGACGAGACCACGGTGCTCTCATAGCGGCTCTGCCCAGCAAGGTGCAACCTCGGCCGGCAGGGCCGTGTCGCCGATGGTGGTCCTTATAGCGCTTCTTGAGTCTCCGAGTTTAGGGTGACCATTTGATAAATTTGGTTTTCTTTAGGATGGGTCCCGAATAGCAACGCAAGTTCATGGAAAAGCTTTGTTGATATTTGATTATCTTCACGAGAGTAACAAACTTACGGACGGAGCTGACGCATGCATGGCTTCACAACCTTAGCTTTAAGTCCTGACTCTGAGCCAAGTCACTTGATGGTCTCCAAACTCAGGGGTGGCCCACATTCTAATGGCAGCTGTCAGTCTACCCTCATAAACAACCACCAACATCTATAGGAACATACTTAACGTGCAGTGCATAGATAGGTGTAAGCAGCCTTGATATAAAATGCAAGCATACCCAAGGATTAGCCCAGGTTTTTAATAAGGTAGTACTAGTTGAGTGTCTCTGACATTGACATTATGAACTACGGAACTTAATATAGATAAAAACAGAGAAATAGACATGGAAATACCCAGACAAGGCCACTTGTAGAGATTCGTGGTTTTAATCTGGCAGACGATGCTAGTTATCACTGCAGGTGTATTAAGCACGACAAACTAAGTGCCGCCTGCTTCACAGTTGATCTTACAGAACCCCTAATGCATTTCGAAAATTAGGAGGCCATTGTGCGCCGATGTAACGGTCTGTGGCACATGGCGCCTTCGTCATATATACAGGGTGTCCCATAAGTCTGGAATCATAAGGAAAACATAACTAATTCATAGTGTTTTGTTTCTGCAGGCCCAAAATGTATCTGAGTAAGGAAGAATGAGTCCAGATAATGCTACTCATAGGAAGTAGGAGACAGACGGAGATTGCTGTTGCATTTAACAGACTGCATCCAGACCGCGAGCCAATAACACGGAGCTGTATTGCACTGCAGCAAAACATATCTTGCTGTGGTTTTCACACCTGATGATGATTGCTTGTGTTGCAATCGAAACGTCGTGATTTAATTTATTTTATTTTATACCTACGTGACTTTACCAAAAGAACCAAAGAGTATGGATCCCTGCAGTTACGAAAACTTCAAATCACGATTGTGTTGCAAAGTTTAGGGAAACGGGATTCATACAAGATAAACCACGCAGTGGACCTTCGAGGAGTTTGTCGTGTATCAGGAACAATGGTGGACACATCGAGAATGTTCTGTGAATAAAAGCGTTATTGCTTTTTTGTATAATTAACCCCTATAATTCCAGACTTTTGGGACACCCTGTATATAGCCTTGCACGATAAGAATGGCGCAAGCACCAAATAGACTGAATTGTTACTATGTTTACGGTCATTTTAAAACCCGTAGTATCCCGCACAGCTGGTTTGAATGCACGCAGACCCAGACTCCGAAACCAGGCTGCGCGGGGCAGTCCGCTCGGTGCACTTAAGCTCTGCGCACGATGACGCGCGCCTCCCCATGGACGTTGCGCAGGCGATTGCTGTTGAACGTGATGACGAGGTTGTGCAGCCCAGGCTTTCTTGGGCAAAACGATGCACTGACGCACACATTCTTCTCGGGTTCCACCCTGTCGCTGTGGGTCGGGGTCATGGAGAGAGGAGACACGTGCTCACCATTACTCCACGGGATCGAGCTGAACACTTCCTAGGACATCTGTTAAAATGAGCTTTGTAGTGCATCATGAACATTCTGATTCTGATGCCTCTTTGTCAAGCGTGGTAGGGTCCATTCGTGAACATGATCGTTCTTTCTCGTTTCGCGATGCGAATCTGCCTTTGTTTTTGGTTCGGCAAGCGATTAGCGCAGTGGTCATAGTAAGTAGCATGGGTTTCCTTCCGCACGGACGTCGTCATTGTATCGTTGGATGAGTTTAGAGTCACATCGAACTAAAAGTTTAACGTACACCATGTAACTGGGCATTGACCAAACATTCCAATTGCGGTAAAATCACCTGATAAATTATTGAGTTGTACAAGACATCGCAACGCCGCCCCCTACTGTGCAAATTTTTAAAAGGACGCAGACCCAGTGAGACTATCCTTGGGTAAACAAGGCAAACGTTTAAACGACAACAATATCAATAACGGTATGTTATTTTATATAATAGCAATAACAATTGTAGTAAAATAAGCGTGCCTGACGATGGGGGATTTTCTGTACCTGCAGGAGATTTGCTGGAGACTGGTGAGGCCTGGTCCCTCGAGGGAGAACACCCCGTCGTCCAGAGGCTGAGGCAGTGGATTCACCAAGGACATCTCGACCTTCAGCTCTCGGCCAACCACAGGCTCACCCAGCACCTGGCACGACCAATCCACAAAACAGAGCAAAGCGCCTCCAATTCCTCGTCAACGTCGGGGGGGGGGGGAGTTGCTATTATTCCTTGATGTGTGTATGTCAAACCCTTCTCGATGCAACACCCTGCCGCCCTGTATCGAAACAGCATTTGTTGACGTGAGCAAAATCGACCTTCTGGGTCCCATCGCCAGAGCCCTGGCTTGTTACACGAATGCTGCTGGATGAGCAAATGCGAATTGGCAAGAGCACCACCCCCATGTAAACATAACACGTGTGGGGGCTCCATTTAACGCACCACGTGCTGCGATTTAACACACCGTGTGCTGTGATCGCAATGCGTTGTGCCAGCAACATTGAATAACTTTCCGTTTAAACCAGTGGTTCTAAACCTGGGGGTGCCCTTTCTGGGGGGTACGAGATATGGCCAAATTATTTTAGAAGGTGAATAATCGAAAACACAAATTAAGCACGGGCACGTTAAATACAACTTAATTTGTTTCATCAAATCCTATGTATTTAACACACACAAAATCTATGACTAAGAACCAATGGGGTGCAAGGCTGCATTAAAAGTTGTCATTCTTCACGATTATGCAAGGGTTTCGCCCTTACTCAACAGCTACTATTATGTAACTGTGCCTGTTTAAAAAAAAAATTTAATGAGAAAAACATTCAATTAAATTCTCATCAGGACCTACGGTGCAACCAATTGCAGTCTCCAACTCTTCTCCTCTACTCTGTCTTACTTCTTGCCTGAGAAGTGAGAAGCGAAGAAGGGCTATGGCCCGAAACGTCGTTCATAACATCTTTTTTTTAGGCCACACAATATGTATGTTGCATGCACGTTGAACTTCTTTCACACAGTGCGAAGCCAACTGCGATCATTAGAGGTGCAGGGGAAGGGCATCAAACTAAGCACAAAATGCACCACTGGTCGTGTAAATGGCTACGGATTCACTCTGAACAGATGCTATAGGCTGACCATCACGTGGATCTCTGGGGTCTCGAGGATGATGTTCCGCTCAGAAAAGGCCAGGATCGTCTCCTGGCCGGGCAGAGTGACAGCGCAGGTGACGCGGATGATGTTCTGATCTCTCAGCTGAGATCCGTAGTCCTTGTACTTGATTCGCAGTGGCTCCGAGACAGCTAGTGAGAGATGGACAGCATCGCCATTTGCATGATCGTCAGCAGAATTATGATCATCAGCATCAATAAAATATAAATGTGTCGTTAAACCCTCCACCACCCGACACAGACAATTGATAAGAGTTGTCACGTAAACAGAACATGCCAATTCGTTACTAGTACAGCAACACCGGTGTGTTGGAGAGCAAAACCACAACATTTACAATCTGAGTACGACGTTTTGTTAGTAATTACAAATAGCATTATCATCAGCATCATCAACAGAAAGACCAGTAGCAACAGAATCGACATTTTGGGATAGTTGGGCAATATCAGTAAAAAATGTAAGCTATGGGAGGTAACTGGACAACTCGGAAAAAACCCATGCAGAACAGAGGCAGAGAGACGATACAAACGAGCCACGGTGGCAAGGCTGTTAATTACCCCGCCTGGTATACAGGAGGTCGTGGAGTTCGATCCTGAACCAGACGCCTGTATATTTGGAGTTTGCATGTTCTCCCCGTGGTCAGGTGGATTTTTCTCCGGGTCATCCAGTCTTTCCTTCCACATTTATAATTAACAGCAAGCATCTAGAGTATTTGGCTGCAAAACATTTTCCACGCAATAAGCCACTTCATTGAGCTATCATTTGTGGCCAGGTTACTTCTCAAAAATAGCTGTTTAACTCAGTGGGCCTTACTTGGTAAAATAGAATTGAAAAAAGTTTGTAAAAAATGTTTTATTTAAACTCCACGCAGGAAGGGCGCTAAAGTTGGGAGTAGAAACCAGGAAATTTTTGCCACGTGTGTTATCACCGCGCCATCCTGCCCCCTGACGATCATAACGACGACAGAACACGTGGGCAGCCCTCGTCTCCGTCGTATGTATGCACAGACTTCGACTTACGAATGCATTCCGTTCTGATAGCCAGTTCGTAAGTCGAACGGTTCGGAAGTCGGAACACAATAATGTAGCTGTATTTAAATGAACATCCTGTCAGTGTCATGAAATGTGTTACGTTTCAACAAAAAAGGGAAGCACTGTTAAACTCGTAGATAAGAAGAGATATTGTAAATTTGCATGGAACACTGTAAACAGTTCTACGGTTTGGTTGGCAAGCGCGAGTTCGCGTTCGCAGGTCGGATGGTTAAAACATAAATGTCTTATGAAAGCCCGATCGTAAGTGGGGGGACTGCCTGTATGTATGCGGAAATTCGTTCGCATCGTAAGTGGCTAGCCATACTAAACGGAGGTCGCTCACTCTCTCCGGGCGGCACCTCCACGGTGCACTCCCTCTGGGTGCAGATCTCCCTGACCATCCCCGTGTAGGTGACGGCCCTGGCGCAGAGCACGAGACGCACGACCGCCGCGTGCCGGCGCGACGGGTTCCGCAGCGACGTGTGCACGTCCATGTCGCTGCCCACAAACGCCGAGCGGCTCAGGCGGGTCCGCACGAGCAGGCCCTGGACCACCTCGCCCTGCGGCTCGCCCCGCTCGCCGGCTCCGTTGGGGACCAGCGGCCGGGAATACTTGTCGTCGACTCCTGGCTGCGGTCTCTCCCCACGGACGATGCACGTTGCCCGGGCATAGGCCGCCCGCTCCTCCTTGGAGCCTTGTGGGAGGGCGGGGAGAGGGTTAAGGAGTAGGGAGGAGGGAGAGGTTTTAATGAGTTTAACATGTAGTAGCAGGCTTTCGCGACCAATATCATCCATGATACAGTTTTTTTTTTGTGGCTAGATTGCGTAAATATACAGAAGTGTCGTTAAACCCGCCACCACCCGACACAGCCAACTAGTAAGGTTTGTCACGCAAACAGAACGTGGCCAATTCGTTACGAGTACAGCACCACCGGTTGTGTGTTGGAGAGCCAAGCCACAACATCTACAATCTGAGTACAACGTTTCGCCAGTAATTACAGCCAGCTTCGTCAGGCGACAGCCAGATTTGTGGAGAAGTCCACCCATTTCGCTCCTTGAATAGAGGCGTAGATGTGGTGACAACACTTGTGTGCACTTCTTGCACGATAGTGGCTGGGGGTTAATGAATGCATATGTATCTGGTAATCAACGTACGTTACGCATGCGCATTAAGCGAGCCCATTGTTCTTGTACTTACTGTCCATTGTATGTGCAGTGGTGTTACGGGTCAAACACACATCAGTTACAGCTGTTATGGTGTGACGGGACAAACACACATCAGTTACAGCTAGCACCCTGGGCTTACCCAAAGGGGGCTGTGGGCTTTCGATCCCCCGCGACCCTCTCAACGGGTGGGGGCTGCGGGGTGTGCTGCGATCCCTCAGAACTCCGCCCCTCGGTGAGGAATTGGTATAAAAGACGGGGAGCCAGAGAGATAGGGGCAGTGTTCGCAAGCCGAAGTCCGAAGAACCAGTTGAAGATTGAAGACCGGCTAGATAGACCCTGGAACTCCTCTGACCCACGGTCCTTCTCAGGGCAGGGCAGAGCAAGCCAGCGGTTTGACCGCAGAGCCTCAGAGTCGATGTCCTTCTAAGGACCGGGTGTGTGTGGCTGGTGGTCGAGACCTGAGCCTTGTCTGGGCCAGGTCAGGCAGCCTCCTTTAGAGCCCTTAGCGGAGGACCTGGGAGCATACAGTGAGGGAAACAAGTATTTGATCTCCTGCTGATTTTGTACGTTTGCCCACTGACAAAGAAATGATCAGTCTATTATTTTAATGGTAGGTTTATTTGAACAGTGAGAGACAGAATAACAACAACAAAATCCAGAAAAACGCATGTCGAAAATGTTATAAATTGATTTGCATTTTAATTAAGGAAATAAGTATTTGACCCCTCTGCAAAACATGACTTAGTACTTGGTGGCAAAACCCTTGTTGGCAATCACAGAGGTCAGACGTTTCTTGTAGTTGGCCACCAGGTTTGCACACATCTCAGGAGGGATTTTGTCGCACTCCTCTTTGCAGATCTTCTCCAAGTCATTAAGGTTTCGAGGCTGATGTTTGGCAACTCGAATCTTCAGTTCCCTCCACAGATTTTCTATGGGATTAAGGTCTGGAGACTGGCTAGGCCACTCCAAGACCTTAATATGCTTCTTCTTGAGCCACTCCTTTGTTGCCTTGGCCGTGTGTTTTGGGTCATTGTCATGCTGGAATACCCATCCATCACCCATTTTCAATGCCCTGGCTGAGGGAAGGAGGTTCTCACCCAAAATTTGACGGTACATGACCCCGTCCATAGTCCCTTTGATGCAGTGAAGTTGTCCTGTCCCCTTAGCAGAAAAACAACCACCAAAGCATAATTGTTACACCTCCATGTTTGACGGTGGGGATGGTGTTCTTGGGGTAATAGGCAGCATTCCTACTCCTCCAAACACGGCGAGTTGAGTTGATGCCAAAGAGCTCCATTTTGGTCTCATCTGACCACAACACTTTCACCCAGTTGTCCTCTGAATCATTCAGATGTTCATTGGCAAACTGCAGACGGGCATGTATATGTGGTTTCTTGAGCAGGGGGACCTTGCAGGCGCTGCAAGTTTTCAGTCCTTCACGGTGTAGTGTGTTACCAATTGTTTTCTTGGTGACTATGGTTCCAGCTGCCTTGAGATCATTGACAAGATCCTCCCGTGTAGTTCTGGGCTGATTCCTCACCGTTCTCATGATCATTGCAACTCCACAAGGTGATATCTTGCATGGAGCCCCAGGCTGAGGGAGATTGACAGTTTTTTTGTGCTTCTTCCATTTGCGAATAATCGCACCAACTGTTGTCACCTTCTCACCAAGCTGCTTGGCAATGGTCGTGTAGCCCATTCCAGCCTTGTGTAGGTCTACAATCTTGTCCCTGACATCCTTGGAGAGCTCTTTGGTCTTGGTCATGGTGGAGACTGTGGAATCTAATTGATCGATTGCTTCTGTGGACAGGTGTCTTTTGTACAGGTACCTGTATAAAAGACACCTGGGAGCCAGAGATCTTTCTGCTTTTAGAGGGGGTCAAATACTTATTTCCCTCATTAAAATGCAAATCAATTTTATAACATTTTCGACATGCGTTTTTCTGGATTTTTGTTGTTGTTAGTCTGTCTCTCACTGTTCAATTAAACCTACCATTAAAATTATAGACTGATCATTTATCTGTCAGTGGGCAAACGTACAAAATCAGCAGGGGATCAAATACTTTTTTCCCTCACTGTAATTGTAATTGTGCCGTGATAGCTCTAAGACACATAATCTGCGCCACTGGGAATTTTACCATTCGGCATCGACCCACGTCTTTCGCAATCATTTGAATATCTCAAGCGATGCGGTTTGTCTTTCGGCCCGACTTCCCTTAGCTCTTTGTTTTTTGGTGCCATTTTTTTCGTTAGCTTATTACATTTTTTTACATTGCTTGGTGGTAGTTTTAGGGTTTTCACTTGCGTGCGTGCGTGTTGGGGCTTCTTTCCCGCCGTACATAGCCAACATCGTTGATGGGATTTGGTCCTCGAATGTAGTTAATTGATTAATGTGCATGACGCTTTATAAAATGAAAGCTGTTTTATTATTATGGCTTCTGTCATTTCAGTGTAACCCCCCCCCTCACCCCCCCTCCCCCCCACCCATGTTCATCGCCCAACCCAATTTGCCCCTGTCCCGGTCCCTCGAGTTACCCCGGGTTCTCGCCCGGTTCAACGAGACCAACTCGGGACTCGGGACTCGCCATTCGCGCGTCTCGGCCCGCGTACCTTCGGGGTACTTGTACTGGAGCGTGATGTCCTCCCGCTCGTCGCAGCCCGCACGCTTGGTGCTGATGCAGCGTCCCACGTGGTCCGTGTTGCACGACATGCGCGTTCGCCTCCCGTCGGCCGCTACGGACCACATCACCACGTCGGCGTTCACCTCGGCGAACACGAACGGCGTCTCGTAGCCCAGCGACACCTGGCCCTTGCGCACCGCACGCACCGGCGCCGGCCCGCAGCAGAACATGCCTGGGAGACACGGGCAGAGGAGCACGAGGGCGCAGGGCCCCAATCGTGTCGATAAAAATAAGGATGCCTACGTGTGGCCCGCGGGCATGGCCTCCTGCGTCTCCTCGATCAATCGATGAGATCTGCGAATGACGAGAGAACCCCGTCGTTATGGAAGGATAGTGCCGGCCAAATGACTGTGAGTTTCAGACAACGCACGCAATAAGCACTCGGCGATTCGGCGTTTTGCAACAACAACAACAAAAACATCGGCGGTTCCCGAAGAACTGCACTACGCAGTTCCTCTTGCCTCAGGTCATTTGACAGTGACTTAAGATAAGAGGGATCACATTGCAGTTTTTTCGGGAACTACCGATGATTCGTACTGGTATGTGAAGAAATATTACTCCAAGGGGTGGATGCATTTCTTGGGGAACTGCTGATGGCTTGTTTCTGCACGTTTCTGCGTGCGTTGCGTGAAATCTGTGGTCCTCCGGGGCCTGCGCTGCGCTTCTGTCATGATGAGGTTGTCTCGTGAGTTACAGATGTGATTATGCGGGAGTGTGTCGACGTCGATGATGATGATGATGTTGATGAGGATGATGTTGCTGCCCTGGTGAGCCTACAGATGCTGGCTTACGGAAGCGTCGATGCCATCACACGCGTCACTCACCCTCGCTCCTCTCCTGCGGGGTTGGGTCAATCACCTGCCACCCATCGTATCCCTCCTCGATGTCCTTCCGCGACATCCAGCTCTCCACCCACACGTGGAAGTTCCTGCCAGCCGACATAACGAGAACGAGCGAATGTTGTTTTAACGGGCACCTGTTTATGCGTGCTCACGTTGAAACATAATGTTAGGGGAACGTGCCGATGATGAAAATTTATTATTATTATTATCGAACCCAAAGAAAGTGAGATGCATTCGAGAGCACCCGTTGAGGCTAACAGTCGGGCCAGACCGTCAGAATGGAGGATTTCATGTTGCGACAACGCTACGCGCCAAGCCGAATTGCCCTTTGAACAAATTCGCCCGCAATGCGCCCGATCTGATCGGACGTCGGAAGAGCGCTGAGGAGAGCCGAGCAATGCTCGGGGCCTGGATGGGCGACCACGTGTGCCTGCCCAGGTGGTGGGCACAGAGGGGTGGCAGTGGTGCGGGGGGGGGTGGTGGGGGCATCATCGTTCTCATAGCGCAGGGTGATCGTCATGGAGGAAAGCGCTGCTGTGTTACACAGACAGGGTTTGCAATCATTTGTGTCGTCACCATGTCTCCACGTCCTTGTCTCTTCCATGCCCCCCTCCCCCCGCCCTCCCTCTATGTCCGCTATCACTCCTCGCGTCCCTGTGTGTCCTGTCACCCATGCCGCATCTCGCGCCCTTTGTGCTGCCGTGTCTCACCACACAGAGTCGTGCGACTCCTGCTTGTTGTTGCTCTCGTAGTAGAAGCGGTCGCACGAGAGGTTCCCGTCCTTGTCGTGAGCCGACGTGAAGTTGGTGACGCAGCGTGTCGGCAGGCCAAAGAAGCGCATCACTGCGGAGCAAGGTCAAGGGGTCGCCCCAGAGGTCAGCGGCCATAAGGTCATGCATAGCAAAGTGATCCCTCAAAGGCCGCAGAAACGTATTTTCCGCTGGCACAAAACGCGCTGCGCAGGGGCCGTGTACAGCCAGCCTGGCACAGCTCAGGAGGTGCCAGGTTTTTCGACTGCACAGGCTGAGCCGTGCTTGTGACGTCACATGCAATGGGCGAGTTGAGACACGTGTAGATGGCGTGGTGACGGCGCGTCCCCTGAGTCTACCGACTGACGTCACGCGGAGTGAATACTCCACGAGCCAAACCCCTGGCCCTGCTCGGACCAGAGCCAGATTCCAATGCCTTGTGAGGCCAGTGTAGCACGGTTTGGTTCTGGCTTGGCACAGCGGATAGCTCGCGGAGTACCAGTCATCAGCAAGTCCAATGATCTTAAAATCGTCTCCCGTACCATAGCAGGCCATCTCTGCTCTAGCCCATGCCACGCCCATGACATTTTCAAATCATCAATCGATTTTTTTATTTAATACACATCCTTCGTATATATGTGTGTATGTAAATGTGTACGTATGTACGACTGTAAAATCTCAGCGAGCCAGACTACCACTACTATTTTTATTTTACCAGGTAAGACACACTAAGCTATTAAACTCTTTTTCAAAAGCCACCGGACCAAAAATGATAGCTCAACGAAGTGGCTTAACATGTGGAAATGAAGTGCAGCCAAATACTCTCAACGCACCTTTCTAAATGTGGAGGGAAAACAACGGAGGACCCGGAGAAAAGTCCACGCAACCATGGGGAGAACACGCAAACTCCAAATATACAGGTGTCAGGGTCGGGATTGAACTCACGACCTCCTGCATACCAGGCGAGGTAGTTCACATCTCGCGACCATGGCGACTAATTGAAGGGGGGGAGGGGGTAGCCCTAGTCCAATTATTTACGTGTGATGAAACTGGAGCATCCAAAAAAAAAAACACCCGTGCGAGGGGGCAACGCTCTATCCCGTAACAGACGGAACAAGTGAAGTCCACATTTGCTGTACTGCCTTCTTCGATCCATCAACCCTCGCCGCTGCCTTCACAGTGCTGAGATTACAGGCCACGTGTGCATGGCCACCACCACCCAGCTAATATAGACACAAACCCTTCGAAATGTGTACCACATATATATGTGGGCGCAGTGTGCACCTGTGTTTAACTCTATAAACCAATAACATGATCGTGCCAGCTGTGTGTATGCCGTGCTGTGTGCTCCATTGCAGTATTGTCCATGAGGTCGGCTATGGAGCTAATTATGTTTTTGTGAATATATATAATTAAATATGTAACCCAGTCATGGAAAAATGATAAACCTGGCTGGAAGGTGGCGTTTACCTGTTTTGAGATACGTGTATGTACGTGTGTGTACGTGTGTGGTAATGTAGCGACGAACCCGGTGACCCGAGTTCGATTCCCGCTCATGGGCCAACACCAGTGACGATTATCTGAAACGGTCCTGGGCCTCCCTTAGGTCTACTCAGCCTCAAATGAGTGCCGAGCGAGGTGTGTAAACATCGCCACTGGGGTTACAAAGGCAGCCGGGCGTGGTGCTGGCCACCCACGCCTTCGTGTGCCGTGCCGGCCTTAATAGGTGCTCGCTAACAGCACTTGCCCCAACAGTCTGTTGTAGGCTATACGGGGGGTCTTTGTCTTTGTGTGTATGTACGTGCACGCAACATCGTGTGCAATCAAATGCCACTCACCGGTACAAGCCACCCCGGCAAACACCCAGCACTGACCATACTTGACCGCCTGGCACTGCGTCTTATGCCAACACCGCAGGATGTCGGCGCTGCCCGTCCAGCTGGTGGGACACGTCCCGTTCGGGTACTTGCCCGACCAATTACCCTGCAGCACCCCCTTGTCGTCGTTGCAGTTGATCTGTGGTGGAGATTACGGCGGGGATAGAAAACAGGGAGGACATAGACACAGAGTAGGGAGAGAGGGGGTAGAGAGAGAGGGTAGAGATAGAACAGGGGTCGGCAACCTGTGGCTCGCGAGCCAGATGTGGCTCTTTTGACGACTGCATCTGGCTCGCAAATAAATCTTAGCTGACATTTCTTAACATGATAAGTAATGAATAATTCTGCTGACATTTAAAGCAAAACATTACAGAAATCACAGTCAAGGGGTGCCTCTGCGGATGTGTATGCTTTAATTTAGCTATTTCAATGCTAAATTCTATGCTAATTCCTTTGTCAAGGGGTGCCTCTGCGGATGTGTATGCTTAAATTTATCATAGCCATTTCTGTGACCAGTCACAAACTAATCACTCAGCCATTTCAATGCTAAATTATATGCTAATTCCTTTGTCAAGGCGCTTTGTTTCTTCTCACACAGCTTAAAGGTCGTGATCTGAGCGTGGCTTTTTCACTCCAGCGCTGTCCTACCAGACAGTCTCGTCCCTTCACCTGATGAAGGCCGCTTGTGTTGTGGCCGAAACGTCGTGAGAATATTATTGTTATTTTATTTTATCAATTTATTATTTTATTCTCATTCTACGTGACTTTACCGAAAGAACCAAAGAAGAGAAATCACAGCGTTAAAAAGAACGTTTAAAATATAAAACATTCCCATGCATTTTAATCCATCCATTTTCTACCGCTCCTGCTTAGGGTTGCAGATGGCTGGAGCCAATCCCAGCTGTCCGACACCAAAACTCTATTTTTATTGGATAATGTGGTAGCCTACGGGTCGTTGTGAGGTAAAGCAGTAAACTTCCGTCCTTTTAATCAAATAGTCAGCTAGCTAATTTATGCAGAGCAAACCCTTTTGATGAAGAAGATGGCGAAAAGAAAAAAAGATGAGGAGTACCGCACATTTCAGCACGAATGGACAGAAGAATTCACCTTTGTGGAGAGAGCAGGTTCTGCGGTGTGTCTAATATGCAATGATAAAATTTCATCGATGAAACGGTCAAATATAGAGCGGCACTTCGACACACGCCATGCTACATTTGCATCGAAATATCCAGCGGGGGACAGCAAAAAGAAGGCATGCCAAGAGCTACTGTCCAGAGTGCAAGCTAGTCAGCAGGAACTCCGTGTATGGACCAGACAAGGTGACGGGAATTCGCTAGCTTTGCTGGTTCTTTAGCAATTGTGAGGAACGAAAAGCCATTCACAGATGGCGAGTATGCCAAAACATTCATGCGTGATGTGGCCAACGAACTTTTTGACGACTTTTCGGATAAAGACAAGACAAACGAATAAAAGACATGCCTCTGTCAGCAAAAACTGTTCAAGATCGTACCATAATGATGGCAAATCAAGTGGAGGAAACACAAGTGAAGGACATAAATGCAGTGCCATACTTTTCCCTCGCTTTGGATGAGTCAACAGACGTAAGTCATTTATCCCAGTTCAGTGTGATTGCAAGGTATGCTGCCGGTGACACACTGCGTGAGGAAAGTCTTGCTGTTTTGCCAATGAAAGGGTCAACAAGAGGGGAGGATTTATTCAAGTCTTTCATTGAGTTCGCTAAAGAAAAAAAAATCTACCGATGGATAAGCTTATTTCGGTTTGTACTGATGGTGCTCCGTGTATGGTGGGGAAAAACAGAGGATTTGTAGCGCTTCTTGGTCAACATGAAAAAAGACCAATCCTAAGTCTTCACTGCATTCTACATCAGGAGGCGCTTTGTGCTCAAATGTGTGGCGAGCAGCTTGGTGAGGTGATGTCACTGGTAATTCGGGTGGTCAACTTTATTGTTGCCCGAGCTTTAAATGATCGCCAATTTAAAACACTGCTGGATGAAGTTGGGAATCATTATCCCGGTCTGCTTTTGCACAGCAAAGTGCGTTAGTTGTCAAGGGGGAAGGTGCTCAGCCGTTTTGCGGCTTGCCTGAACGAAATCCGGACTTTTCTTGAAATGAAAGATGTCGAGCACCCTGAGATAGCTAACACTGAGTGGCTCCTGAAGTTTTACTATCTTGTGGTCATGACTGGACATCTGAACCAGCTCAATGTGAAAATGCAAGGCATTGGAAATACAGTCTTATCGCTTCAACAAGCAGTGTTTGCATTTGAATAGAAGCTGGAACTCTTCATCGTGGATATTGAAACAGGTCGTTTACTGCACTTTGAAAAACTGAGAGAATTTAAAGATGCGTGCACAGCAAGTGACCCCGTTCAACATTTTGATCTCCAGCAGCTAGCTGGCTTCACATCTGATCTCCAGCAGTCATTCAAAGCACGCTTTGGAGAATTTCGTGAGCACACTCTGTCTTTTCAAGTTCATCACTCATCCACACGAGTGCGCAGTGGACAAAGCCGACCTGAGTTACATCCCTGGTGTCTCCATCAGAGATTTTGAGCTGGAAGTTGCTGACCTGAAGGCCTCAGACATGTGGGTGAATAAGTTCAAGTCACTGAATGAAGATTTGGAAAGACTTGAACGACAGCAAGCGGAGCTGGCGAGCAAACACAAGTGGACAGAAATGACAAAAACTTCAACCCGCAGACCAGCTGATTGTCAAAACATGGAACGTGCTTCCTGTCACATACCACACACTGCAGCGTCTGAGTATTGCTGTATTGACCATGTTTGGTTCTACGTATTCATGTGAGCAGTCGTTCTCACATCTAAAAAACATCAAGACCAACCTACGATCCCGTTTAATGGATGAAAGCCTCAACGCCTGCATGAAGCTTAACCTCACCACGTATCAACCAGACTACAAAGCCATCAGCAAAACTATGCAGCACCAGAAGTCGCATTAATGGTAAGAAGTATTTTATTTATTATTGGTTGTTGGTATAACAACGTTATTAAAAAGGATACATTCAGAGACTTATTGTATTCTAAAACTGGTGGTCTTAGTTAAAAAATACACGCATTTAATTGCATTCAGTGTTAAAAAAATATGATATGGCTCTCACGGAAATTGATTTCAAAATATGTGGCTTTCATGGCTCTCTCAGCCAAAAAGGTTTCCGACCCCTGAGATAGAAGGAAGGGGTAAGAATGAGGAGAGCAGAGCGTGAAGTCTTTCGTGAAATCTTTCGTTTTAAAAAGGGGGGGGGGGGTGGGGGGCACAAAAAGCAAAGCATTGGAAAAAAAACGAAATGATGAACGAAGCAAAGTGCCGACTACACCGAGCATCTTCTTGTTTCCTCTAATCGTAAAAAAAGAGAGAGAAACGAGGAATGGGCAACTCGTTTCTTTCTGTGTGTGTGTGTGTGTGGTGCTGGCCTTGTGGGGAGTGGTCAGTGTAGCAGTTAGCGCTGCGCTGCGCTACGAATCCGGGAACCCGAGTTCGATTCCCGCTCACCGGCCAACACTGGTGAAGAATATCTGAGCTCGTCCCTGGGCCTCCCCGAGGTCGACTCAGCCTCAAATGAGTACCTGGTATGGTGCGTAAATATTGCCACTTGGAAGACAAAGGCGGCTGGGCGTGCTGCTGGCCACCCACCCCCTTCGTGTACTGTGCAAGCCTTCATAGGTGCTCGCTAACAGCACTTTCCCGAAGAGTCTGCTAAAGGCTACACGGGGGATCTTTGTGTGTACACTGAAAACAAATCCTGTTTTTACAGTAGAATTTACTGTATTGTCGTACATATTTACTATTTTACCCCATAAATGTGCTGTGCATTTAAACAAGCGTACGTAAATATATCTTTATGGGAGTACAGATGTATCTTTGTCTCTCTGAAGCTCACATGCCCAGCCACCGCATGCCCAATTAGATTATAATTGGTCAGAAACAGGGGGGTGAACGGATACAGCATGAGCTCGAGATGAGATGGGCTGATGTGTGAGAGTCAGTGTGTGATTGAGTTAGTGAGTGGTATGAGCCAGATGGGGTGATGCAGTACAGGAAGATGTGGAGCTGAGTGGACTTGCCGATGACCTGCACCAGCGGTGTCAAGATCGGCCTCTGGATGCTGCTGGGCAGTTGAAAGCAGTCGCCCTCCAGCAACAACGGAGGGCGGAGGAGCGACGCTCACAACAACGAGCGGCGCACCGGGCGCTTAAAACGCAGTGGGGTGGAACAGTGGGGAGCGCAGGTGGTGCCCCTGTCAGTCATCTCATTTGGTTAACCCCGGGCATTCTGTATGTGCATTTTGTCAGTTTCACTTTGCGGGTCACAGACACGGTCGTTAACCGAGAAGCGAGTGAAAAAGCCACGCGCTTGCCAAATATCTATGGGAAGACGGACGTTCAGAATAGGTCGACAAGACAGACTCGGGAGTGAAGAGATAGGGGGGGAAAGAACAGGGGGCAGAGGACGACAGCTAAAGAGAGGGCAGCAGCAGGAGCAGCAAGACAACATCGCAGAGTGCTTTGTCCCAGTGAGCCCATAACAATTTTGACTTGTACCAGGTAAGGCCCACTGAGTTTTTCAGAAGCGACCTGGCCGCAAATCATAGCTCAACAAAGTGGCTTATCACGTGCAAATACATCACAGCCAAATACTCTAAACGAGTGTTGATTCTAAACGTGGAGGGAAAAACTGGAGGATCCCGGAGAAAAAAAAACAAGCGACCACGGGGAGAGAGTAACGCAAACTCCAAATATACATGTGTCAGGGTCAGGATCGAACCCACGACCTCCTGTTCACTCGGCGAGGGTAGTTAACATCTTACCACCGTGGCACCCTATAGTACTTCACGTGGCCTCAAAGAGCACACGTGGGCACGTGTCCATGCGTGCATCTCTGTGTGTCTGTGCCCGCGTGTCTGTGCGCGTGCGCGCGTCTCACCATGGCGGAGAGCACTCGGCTGACGTGGACGGGGTCTCCGCGCTTCTTCGTGTCCGCTGCCAGATCCTCGAGCGCCATGTTACTTTTGTCCAGGATCTGGAAGCAGATGTCACCCAGGCCCTGGGCGAACTGCGCAGGGATGACAGCGAAACGTCAGCCGCGGCCAACGCCATCCGGCATTGCCAGCGGCACCATCAGACCTACGCGGCCGGTGGCACGGTCACTTTCAACATCACCGCCGTAGTTGTAGTCGTTGCCATGTCCAGTGCGGTGAGCGCGTGTGCTGCATGTGTTTTGGTGAGTAAGTGGTATGTTTTTTTGTGGCCGTGTTCGCGTGCGTGCGGTGCATCTGCCGGCCATCTCAGTCAGTCAACCCACGGCACCTGGGTCTGTCCCGTGACCTACTGCCGGCGAGCCGTCGATACTTCGCGCGGCCTCGAAGTGCACCTAGCCTGGCACAAGCGCCGTGGTGACGTCACCGCTACTTAGTGGATAATGGGGGTTGTTGTTGATATCATTGTGGTCGGTGTGCTTGTACACCTCGGAGAAGTCCCATGAGATGGAGGAGATGGAGTGAGTGTGCGTAGTGTCTGTGTTTGTGCTGTGGGTATGTATAGTGTGTCTGTGGGTGCACGATATGTGTGTGTTGTGGGGAGCGGTAGTGCAGCGGTTATCGCGCTGCGCTACGAACGGCCAACACCAATGACGACTAACTGAACCAGTCCTAGGCCTCCCCTAGGTCAACTCAGCCTCAAATGAGTACCTGGTGCAGCGTGTAAACATCGCCACTCAAGAGACAAAGGCGGCCGGGCGTGGTACTGGCCACCCACCCCATCGTGTGCCGTGCTCGGCATTCATAGGTGCAACTACGCTAACAGCACTCGCCCCAACAGTCTGTTCAGGCTATACGGGGGACCTTTGTGTGTGATGTGGGGCAGTGACACGGGCCCAGCGGCAGACCTTATTGGTCATCTCGGTGCCCTTATAAATCTCAACGTTCATCCTACAAAGTCCCATCACAAGGGAGAAACACAAACAAATAGACACAAGAAAATTGTTGCCCGTATTGAAACGGCTGTACGCCGTATGGACCTGAAACACTCAATTTCCCTGTACAAGAATACGGGGTAAACCGTGTGGTTTGACACGGTATGTGAATGCGCCATGAGACTCGGTGAGGATTTCATTGGTAAACAAGCACAATATGAATTATTATATGTGAGCAGTGCAGCCCCTAGCCCAAAACACCACATGTACTCAATTATTGTTATTCTTGGTTCTTTCGGTAAAGTCACGTAGAAGGGAAACAATAAGATAATAAAAATATAAAACAATAAAATTCTCACGACGTTTCAAATTTTCTTGCTGTGGTTTTCACACCTGATGATGACTGCTTGTGTTGCAGTCGAAACGTCGTGATAATTTTATTGTTTTATATTTTTATTATTTTATTGTTTCCCTTCTACGTGACTTTACCGAAAGAACCAAGAATATGAATCCCTGCAGTCACGAAAGCTTTAAATCAAAATTGAATTACTGTTGTAATTGTCGCAATTGTTGTTGCATGAGACCTGGGAGAAGTTCCATGGGACGGAGGAGATGTAGTCGTGGGAGCCCACGTAGATCTTTCCAGTCTCGTTGAGAACGTACTCGGAGCGGAGGAGGTCATCCTCCATATACACGGCGTCGTCTGCAACATCACCACACAGACACGACACAAAGGTCGCCCGTGCACAAAATTATCATTATTATTATTATTATTATTCTCGAGTACACTTTCATTCGTGCCGTCATTCTCATGGCACGCACGTGGCAACCGTCGCTCAGGAACGCACCGCCGCTTGTTTCTCATCTCTTCTTCCACGGACGCGGCTTGTGGCGGTGTCACGGCTGCGCACGATCCCAACCGCGTGGCCTGCGGTGCCATTTTCTCACGCGTTTTTTTTTTTTCAAATTTTGGTTCCAAATGACGGCGGGCACGCAACGGGCCTCTTGGTATCGTGCGACGTCATGGGTTCTTTCTCTGCCGCCCGCTCTCGAGCGAAGCGGGCGGGCGGGCGGGCGGGCGCGTTGCACCCCGCGGTTAGTTCACGACCGCGGCAATTGACCCGGGGGCGGCCTGCCAGAATCTGAACCACGAACCCCCGCAGCAGGCACCCGAACGTTCCACCGGCGGGTCGCGTTGTCGTCCCCCGGTCGGCGAGCCCCCATCACAGCCACCGGCTGGTGGCTGTCGTGGGGGCCCATCGACTGCTCGTCGTGATGCGCCGAATTCGGGAGCGGGGGGGTCGCCTCCGGCGGGCCCGCTCACCTTTGCACCAGACGTTGAAGAGAAGAACGATTTCCCCCAGGGGGAAGCAGCGCACCGTGCTGTCGCCGCCCTTCGCGAGCCTCGTCTCCAGGAAGGCCGTGTAGCGGCCAATGGGGGCGCCGGCCGGGGTGGACGCCTCGAGCAAGCTCCAGGTGTGGCCGCTGCCGTGTGCGGTCACGGAGAGCTCCCCCGCGCTGTCCGAGGATGCGCGCAGGAGAGTGCCGTCCTGCTGCGAGGGGCTGGGGCCTACGGTCGTTTGCAGGCCCAGAAACGGTTTAGGAGGGGGGGGGGGGGTCAGGAGGGGCGGCAGTGATGTTGCCGAGTGGAAGCGCGTTTGGCCCTCCTGGTTGCGGAGGATCTCGGTCAGAACAGCACGGGGGTTAACAGAATCAGATTTTTTTTCAATTATCCTGGAGAAATGCGATGAGCTAGGAAGTTGTATTATTTTTTTTTACAGATTTCGAGTTCGGGGTGGGTCAGAAAAGTTACAACGACAAATATGAAGCTACAGACGAGCAGATTGAACGACGCGCACAGCGGCGTGTACAGCGTCACAATCTCTCAGCGTTATGTTGTCCACACCGCCAGCTCAAGGGGACTGAACGTGACTTTGCTCGCCAGTCACAGGTTTGAACTGCAGTGGCATGCGGGTACGCGGTTAGCTGATGGGGATGGTACGGGTGCACAGGGGCACACAGACAGTGGATAGTGCTGGTCAGGATACTCAGACAGGGGCAGGGCTGTCAGGGGTACACCGCAGTACACAGACAGGTGATACTGCTGATTTGGGTACACCGAATCAGAATACTTTACTTATACTGGAGGAATCCGATGAGCTATAAAGCTCTTTTTTTCACACATGTCCAGTAGACACGCGGGTACCTAGGCAGGAACAGGGCTTGTAAGGGTACGCAGGAGAACACATACAGGGATTGGCGCTTGTAGGGGTATGCGGACAGCAGAATGTTCAAGCAAAATCGTTGGGAGCCACTGAGCCAGACAAAGGTAAATTTCAGTTTCATTTATTTGGAATAACCCTGTGAGCCATTCGGCTCTTGATTTAAATGCGCACCTAGAAACCCATACGGTTTACCCGTATTCTTGTGCAGTGAAATTGAGTTTTCAGGTCCAAACGGTGTACAGCCGCTTCAAAGCGGGCAAAAAAAATTGTTGTGTCTATTTGTTTGCGTTTATCCCTTGTGATGGAACTTCGTAGGATGAACGTTGAGATTTATAAGGGGCACGGGATGACCAATGAGGTCTGGTCTTCAATAAGGTAGGGCGCTGATAAAGGGGGTTGACAGGTATGCGAATGTGAAAAATGAAACTTTTCACGCAGAAAATTTAAAAAAACGAGACAACAGAAGGAAGGAGGAAGGGAGACATTTTGGCCGCACTTGATGGGGACGGCAGCTGTGTCAACGTCGCGCCAGAGCGGTGAAGCATGCTCGAGTGACCGTAATCAACGGGGGAATGCCTTCATCCAGCAGTGGATTGTCACGGCGGATTAAACAAGCTGGTTATCGTGAATTTGCAGCGGTGGTATTATTACCGTTGTCACTATTCCGCATGTTGGGAGAGCCTCGCCGTGTCTCAAAGGCTCGCGGTCAGGGTGGCCCTGCCAAGTTTCCGCAGTAGGTGGCGCTGCTGCCGCGACTGTGAATTCCCAACCGAGTGATTTGGAGGTGATTGTTCAGCATTGAGGTGTTTTGCAGTGGCATTGTTATCGTTCTTACTATTCCGCTTGTTTTGCTCAGAAAAGTCTCACTGAGTCTCACTCGCGCTCAGGGTGGCCCTGCCAAGTTTCTGCAGTAGGTGGCGCTGTTACTGAGTTCCCAACCCAATTGGTGCTCGACCAGATGACGCCAAAAGGCGTACAGCTGATCTGGTCGAGCACCAATTGGGTCGAGGCTCAAAAGAAAGCCGTCCCTTGGTGTGGACCAATCAGTTTCAAGGCCAATGCATATATTATCATAGTATGTTTTTTGCTTGCATTTTTACTGCAGGTATTGTGGTTAATGCAGACATGAATCCTTGTAAAAAAAGGTTTCAGTTTTGTTGCCAGAAAAAAGGGGAAAAACCCTATTATTATATTTTGGTACTGGCAAAGGAGGTCTAATGATGGAGGTGATTTATTGTTCAGCATTGAGACGTTTTGGCCAATCGCGGTTATATTGTGTGGTGGGGTCGGGGAGGAGGAAAGTTAGCTACGGGGGGGGGGGGGGGGTGGGGGGGGGGGAACCGGAAAACCCGGAGGAATCCAGAGAAAGAGAACACACAAACTTCACACGCGTGAGCGTTCCGTTAAAAAAAAATATCTAATATTAGTAATTCGAATTATATTCTTGGTTCTTTCGGTAAAGTCACGTAGAAGGGAAACAAAAAAATAATATTATTTTATTGTTTCCCTTCTAGGTGATTTTAATAATAATATTAATTTATTGTTTCCCTTCTACGTGACTTTACCGAAAGAAGCAAGAATATGAATCCCTGCAGTCACGAAAGCTTTAAATCAAAATTTCATTCGAATTAGTTGTAAAAAGAAGAGGCTCATAGTGAATTGGGGGTCTGTGGCGTTACCTTCTGGGGCCTTTATCCGCTGCTGGATGAAAGACTATCTGCGGCATCACAGACAGCGCACAGGGTCTCTGTGTGAGGCTGTCGGTACAGGTGGTGAATCGGCCAGTCATTTCAGTCAGTCGACCCATGGCACCTGCTGGGTCTGTCCCGTGACCTCCTGCCAGCGGCCGTTCGACACTTCACGTGGCCTCAACGTGCACTCAACCCGGCACAAGCGCCGTGGTGATGTCGCCGCCACTTATTGGCAAATTACGGTTGTGGTTGTTGACTGTGGTGTAGCGGTTAGCGCTACGCTGCGCTGCGAACCCGGCTACCCGAGTTCGATTCCCGCTCACGGCCAATACCTGCGACGATTTTCTGAACCGGTCCTGGGCCTCCCCTAAGTCGACTCAGACTCAAATGAGTACCTGGCGCGGTGTGTAAACATCGCCACTAGGGAGACAAAGGCGGCCGCGCGTGGTTCTGGTCACCCACCCCCTCGTGTGCCGTGCCGGCCTTCATAGGTGCTCGCTAACAGCACTTGCCCCAACCAGTCTGTTAAGGCTACACGGGGGATCTTTGCCTTTGCACGAGGGAGACAAAGGCGGCCGGGCGGGGTCTTGGCCACCCACCCCCTCGTGTGCCGTGCCGGCCTTCATAGGTGCTCGCTAACAGCACTGGCCCCAACAGTCCGTTCTTGTGTACGAACGAGTGTCTCTTAGAGCGAGTGTGTCTCTGTGAACTCTCTCTAGCGTCGTGTCTCTGCGACGGCGTGTCTCTTTAACACCGTGTCTCTCTCTGACACCGTGTCTCTCTCTCTGACACCGTGTCTCTCTGACACCGTGTCTCTCTATGACACCGTGTCTCTCTATGACACCGTGTCTCTCTCTGACACCGTGTCTCTTTAACGCTGTGTCTCTCTCCGCGACACCGTGTCTCTCTCCGTGACACCGTGTCTCTCACTGACACCGTGTCGATCTAACGCTGTCTCTCTCTGACGCCGTGTATCTCTCTGCGACACCGTGTCTCTCTAACGCCGTGTCTCTCTCCGCGAAACCGTGTCTCTCTTTCTGACACCGGGTCTCTCTCCGCGACACCTGTCTCTCTCTGGCACCGTGTCTCTCTCTGACGCCGTGTCTCTCTCTGCGACACCGTGTCTCTCTCTGCGACACCATGTCTCTCTCTGCGACACCGTGTCTCTCTGACGCCGTGTCTCTCTCTCTGACACCGTGTCTCTCTCTGCGACACCGTGTCTCTCTGACGCCGTGTCTCTCTCTCTGCGACGCCGTGTCTCTCTGACACCGTGTCTCTCTCCGCGACACCGTGTCTCTCTAACACCGTGTCTCTCTCTGACACCGTGTCTCTCTGACACCGTGTCTCTCTCTCTGCGACGCCGTGTCTCTCTGACACCGTGTCTCTCTCCGCGACACCGTGTCTCTCTCCGCGACACCGTGTCTCTCTCTGCGACACCGTGTCTCTCTAACACCGTGTCTCTCTCTGACACCGTGTCTCTCTAACACCGTGACTCTCTCTGACACCGTGTCTCTCTCTGACACCGTGTCTCTCTGTGACGCCGTGTCTCTCTGATACCGTGTCTCTCCGACACCGTCTCTCTCCGCGACACCGTGTCTCTCTCCGCGACACCGTGTCTCTCTCCGCGACACCGTGTCTCTCTCCGCGACACCGTGTCACTGTAAGGCCGTGTGTGCGTGCGCGCGCGCGCGAGAGCGAGAGAGAGAGAGCGCGTGCGAGCCGAGCGCTGGTTTCTCACCCGTATGCAGTGCCAATGCGATGGCATCATTCCCGGGGTTAAACAGCCGTCCTCGGAATTTGACGAGGAGCTGGAACGGCTGCCCCCTCCGCAAGAACAGACGGTCTTTCTCCACCGTGAGAGCCTCCAGGTGATGCGCCTTCTGGTTCGCCACCTCCAGCCTCTCGAACGACTCCAGTTCCAGAGGATCTGACGGGACAAAACAAAGACAAAGAGTCCCCCACACACCCATGTAGCCTTTGATGGACTGCCGGGGCAAGTGCTGTTCGAGAGGCCTCGCGTGACGCAGTTGTTTTTGCGCCGATTTATATTCGCTGAATGGGACCTTTTTGTTGCTCGTATCAAAGTACGAAATAATAGTAACATGTGTTTATACTCTTTGGTTCTATTGGGTAAAGTCACGTAGGTGAGAATAAAATGACAAAAAATCACGACGTTTCGGCCACAACACAAGCGGCCTTCATCAGGTGAAGGGACGAGACTGTCTGGAGGACAGCGCTGGAGTGAGAGAAGCCACGCTTAGATCAAGACCTTTAAGCTGTGTGAGAAGAAACAAAGCGCCTTGACAAAGGAATTAGCATAGAATTTAGCATTGAAATGGCTCATTGAAATAGCTAAGTTAAAGTATACACATCCGCAGAGGTACCCCTTGACAAAGGAATTAGCATAGAATTTAGCATTGAAATAGCTGAGTGATTAGCTTGTAACTGGTCACAGAAATAGCTATGTTAAAGTCAGAGCATATACATTCACCGAGGCACCTAGTACTAATCAAACAGGAGAATTTAGCGAAACACAACCACGCTCAGACAGCGGACCTTTAAACTGTGTGCGAGAAAACAAGGTGTTCTGACAAAGAAATTAGCATAAAAATTAGCATTTGATTGGCCGATTTTAGGAAAGAGGTGGTGTACGTGCCGGTGGACTTGCCGTTTGGCGTGGGGGGGGGGGGGCAGTTTACCTATTGATGGTGTGAAAAGGGAATTTTTAAGAGCTGCGAAAGTTTGTGGTACCACTACTTGAAAAATATACTGTACCATTGAAATTAGTTTAATGTTTAGTTCGATTTAGAACATCTTTCATGTGTTTACCCTTTACCCTTTCTGTCACTAAAACAGGATGTGTTGGGATGTTCAAACACCAAATGTAAACCTTTCTGCAAGGAATCAGTGACTGCATTAACCACGCACAGTGCTTGTGGTGAACACGCAAACAAGCACGTGGCTCTGATCATAATGCGCGCGTTGCCTCTGGCACTGATTGGCCCACACCAGACACAGCAGCTTTCTTCACGGCCTAGTATCACCACCAGTGTCAGACCAGAGAACAACGCCGAAAGGCGAAAGGATGACACGATTCCTTGCAAAAGGTTTGTGTTTGGTGCGTGAACATCCCAACATCTAAATTTCGATTTAAAGCTTTCGTCACTGCAGGGATTCATATTCTTGGTTCTTTCGGTAAAGTCACGTAGAAGGGAAACAATAAATGATAAAATCGAAAATTATTTAAATAATTAATGCTTTCATTATTTCATCATAATAAATCCTTTCTGCGTAAATTATTTTATTATTTCCCTTCTACGTGACTTTTCCATTCTACGTGATTCATATTCTTGGTTCTTTCGGTAAAGTCACGTAGAAGGGAAATAATAAAGTAATTTATAATAAGTAATTTATAATAAGTAATTTATTATAAAGTAAGTTATTATTTCCCTTCTACGTGACTTTACCGAAAGAATCAAGAATATGAATCCCAACACCTCCCGTTTTATTGCAAGAAATGGTAGAAACAGCTATTGTTATGTTTTCATACTTTGCCGCTTCCATTGCTGTACTTCATTTTAATTAGATTGTTTTGTTTTTGTACATCTTTGGTGAGCCAGCTCGCCGTTTCCCAACGAGACTCATCCTCTGGTCTCTGGAGGTCTCGCCTGGTTACTCAAATAACCTTTGACCTGGCTACGTACGGTGTGAAAGAAGTGTTACGGACTTACATAAGGGGCAGCGCCACGCCCCCCCCCCCCCAGCGCTGGTGTTTATACACACCGCACCAGCTGCTTGTTTAAGGCTGAGCCCACCTAAGTGAGACCCACGACCGGCTCAGATATGTTTCACTGATGTTGACCATGAGCCAGAAGCACACTGAAGTCGCTGGGTTTGTAGCAAAATGCGCCAACCACTGCACCACCACTTCCCACTTAGACCCATCATCAAAGACATGCTTACAGACACAAACACCTGTAGATTCATGGAGACCCGTAGACTCTCACACAGATCCATTGACTCTCACAGAGACCCATAGACTCTCACAGAGACCCATAGACTCACAGAGATCTGTAGACTCTCACAGAGACCTGTAGACTCACAGAGATCCATAGACTCACAGAGACCCATAGACTCACGGAAAACCACAGACGCTCACAGATACCTGTAGTCTCACAGAGACCCATAGACTCCCACAGAGACCCATAGACACTCACAGAGACCCATAGACTCACACATAGATATGTAGACTCACATAGACCTGTAGACTCACAGAGACCCATAGACTCACGGAAAACCACAGACGCTCACAGATACCTGTAGACTCATAGAGACCCATAGACTCTCAAAAAGACCCATAGTCTCACAGAGACCCATAGACTCTCACAGAGACCCATAGTCTCACAGAGACCCGTAGACACTCACACAGATCCATTGACTCTCACAGAGACCCATATACTCTCGCAGAGACCCATAGACTCACAGAGACCCATAGACTCACGGAAAACCACAGACGCTCACAGATACCTGTAGACTCACAGAGACCCATAGACTCTCACAAAGGCCTATAGACTTTCACATAGATCTGTAAACTTACATAGACTCAAACAGATACCCATAGACTCACAGAAAACCATAGATTCATTCAAAACCCATAGATCTGCCCCAACAGTCTACCACCGTCTGTTCTAAGGTTGACTGCTCCCCGAGGTCGCCAGACTCGAGGAGACCACTCCAATGCCTGTCTCAGCAGTTGGCCCACCTCCATCCTGCAGACGTATCCCACCCAGACCTGTCCCACCCAGACGTATCCCATCCAGCTCAACCGTGTTTGCCAAATTTTGCCGTGTGTGCATGTATGTATGTAATGTGTACACATATTTTTTTGCATGAGTGCAGCATGTATATTGCCAATAGTGTCTCTCATTCATTTCAAAACAGCTCACCCGTACTTCCACCCCGATCGCTTTCACTTCCTCTCTTGTTCACTGGGACACCGATTAGCATGGTTAGCTACGTAGAGTGCGAGAGAAGCTCAACATACAGACGGACACACTCTGGTGGAATATCCTAGAAGCTCAGCCGGTATTTTTGCCTGGTCAACGCTCGGGTGCCGGGTGCGGGTCCACGATGGGGGAGATGTATCTGGCTGCTCTCTGGCGAGATGTCAACTACCTCGCCTGGTATACAGGAGGTTGTGGGTTCGATGCCGACCCTGACGCCCGTATGTTGTGAGTTTGCATGTTTCTCTCTCCGTGGTCACGTGGATTTTTCTCCGGGTCCTTTGGTTTTGTTTTGTTTTGCCCTCCGCATTTCGAATGAACATCACGCGTTTTAGAGCATTTAGCTGCTGCTATACATTTCAACGTGGTGAGCCACTTTGTTGAGCTATCATTTGTGCTGGTCAGGTCGCGTCTGAAAATATAGCTACGTAGTTGAGTGAGCCTTCCCCTATAAGATATCAAGGTGCCCCACCCCTCCTCCCTTATGATTGATAAAGGTTCCGGTAAATTAGCCACAATCGAGTAATTGATGTAGCCAACCAAATAATCGCCCCCTCCCCCCCCCCCAGCGCTGGTTCCTGAATATGTGTACACACGCATTATGTCTGCCGTGTCATTTCCCGCTGAGCAGGCATTGTGTTAACTGGAGGAAGGGGAAGCTTGACCAGTGGCGATAGATGACCCAAGAGGAAAAACACAAAACACTGGGAAATCCCCAAACTTTCTTTGGAGGAGGGAAAAACTGAATTTCTCCGAACTTGCATTTCTCGCGAAGTGGGAGGGCGTAATAATAATACAAAATATTAAAAACAACAAAATCCGTCGTAATCGAAGGGAGAATCCAGGACAGGATTTATTGGAACGAGTAACACACTGCCGCAGCGGTGGTGTCATTGAGTTGCCATTTAGAGGTCGCGAGATGGTGGACGACCTCGCCTGGTATACAGGAGGTCATAAGTTCGATCCCGACCCTGACGCCTGCTGCTGTATATTTGGAGTTTGCGGTGTCTCTCTCCCTGTGGTTGCGTGGACTTTTCTCAGGGTCCTGCGGTTTTCCCCCTCCACATTTAATAGCATGCATTTAGAGAATATATTGCCGCTAGACAATTCCACACGATGAGCCACTAACGTTGGGCCGTGATTTTGTGGCCAGGTCGCTTCTCAAAAGGAGCTGCGTAGTTCAGTGGGCCCTCACTTAGTACAATATAAATGGGAATAAAAAAAACGGGGACACGATTCTTAAAACTTCCCCACCCGCAATTCCGCCTCTATCCGCCCCGACAGTCTATTGATGGGTGCGGAAGCGCTGTCAAGTTGACGGGCTGGTCGTGTGTCGTGGAACAGAGCGTGGGTGACTCCCACGCGTCTTCCAAAACCGTCCTGAAACGGCACCACGTGAGAGTAGCCTCCCGAGAGTCAGCTATGGTGGAGGCATACTCTTTGGTTCTATTGGGTAAAGTCACGTAGGTGAAAAAATAAAATAACAAAAATCACGACGTTTCGGCCACAACACAAGCGGCCTTCATCAGGTGAAGGGACGAGACTGTCTGGAGGACAGCGCTGGTGTGAAAAAAGCCACGCTCAGATCGCGACCTTTAAGCTTGTGCGAGAAGAAACGGAGCGCCTTGTCCAGCGCTGTCCTCCAGACAGTCTCGTCCCTTCACCTGATGAAGGCCGCTTGTGTTGTGGCCGAAACGTCGTGATTTTTGTTATTTTATTTTTTTACCTACGTGACTTTACCCAATAGAACCAAAGCGTATGGATCCTTGCAGTCACGAAAGTTTTAAATCTACTATGGTGGAGGCCTCTGCCATCACGAAGTCGCGCGAGCGAGCACTTGCAGGGGCCGCGCCTTTACCGCCGACCTTACCCGAGATTCCCGTTCGCAATTCCATCACACGCTGATGTGAGCCGAGGGCCGGGAACTGGAATTCACGGCGCAATGCGCTAACCACTGCCCCGCCGCTCTACTGCCATCTCCTGGTCACAGCTCGGTAGCGCCGTGCCTACAACACCTGGCAAGCAGCTAGGGGTCTTCCCATCCAAGTGCGGTGTGAATCAGTCTCGAACCCCTCCTGCTGAGCTTCCGATGTGATGGTGGCCGGGGATGACACGGGCAGAGTTAATTTTAGCTCCCGTGATTGCAAAAAAAGGAAGCTGCGGCGAAATCTTTAACCATTTTAAATTAATTATAGTGTACTGTATAACCCTTAACGCTTCCTCATGACTGTACAATTAATGCATATGCAACATTCAGTCTCGTGTGCCCCATATTGGGCGCCGCGGTGCAGGGATGTTAACTACCTCGCCTGGTGTACAGGAGGCCATGGGTTCGATCTCGACCCTGACGCCTGCTGCTGTATATTTGGAGTTTGCGTGTCTCTCTCTCTCCCCATGGTCGTGTGGTTCTTTCTCCGGGGTCCTCCAGGTCTTCCCTCCACATTTATAAACACGCATTTAGAGTATTTGTCTGCTATGCATTTCCACGTGATCAGCCACTTCGTTGAGATATAATTTGCGGCAAAGTCGCTTCTGAAAAACAACTACATAGCTCAGTGGGCCTTACCTGGCAGAATAAACCAACAATGTTTAGCTTACATTAAAGTCAATCGGCCCATCGGCTTTCCAGAACAGGAATGCCTGGCAGCAAACTCTGAACGGGATTCGAGCTTCTGAGGTCTCATCGGCAGATCCAGTCTTAGTTAAGCAAATCCCCGCTGGATTACCAGACGCAATTGTTGTCGAGAGCACTCCATCCGTACCACGGGGTCCCGTTTAGCACAACATTTGATTCCGCGCACACCAATGTCGACACGATATTAGGTTTCACGATACATTCTAGATTTGAAGATTTCGTGACTGCAAGGATCCGTACTCTTTGGTCATTCCGGTAAAGTCACGTAGGTATGAAATAAAATAAATGAAATCACGACGTTTTGATTGCAACACAAGCAATCGTCATCAGGTGGGAAAACCACAGCAGGAATGTTTTGTTGTTGTTGTTGCTGAAGTGGCAGAGAGAGTTGCCGTGGTTAGAGGTTATACAGCAAGAAAGGATACATTATATTTAAAAAAATTGTACGATGCGATAGCTATCGTGATTTCGGGTCCCCATAGATGTGTAAATTATGTTTCGCACTGCTATTGCCCCTGCGCTTAGCTGTACTTCCAGTGGGAATGAGGACGGCTTGATACGTCTCTTACGCTGGAGCTCGCTCAGCTGAATGTTGCCCCAAGTCTACGTGTCGTTGCAATCTGTTAAGCGTTAAACTCATCGCTCTTATCACTTGCTCGTTTCCCCAGTCTAAAGCCTGAGCAGTCTCAAGACACATTGTTCAAGAGGGTCCTGCCGAGGTTTCGTCGCAAGTGAGAGGGTAACGTTGTTGCCACTGCTGCGTGTGATTCCCAATTGAGTAATACGCATGTTGAACTTTCTTTCGCACCGTACGTAGCCAACCGTGCTAATCGGAGGCGCGGAGGAATGGCAACAAACTAAACACAAACAACAACAACAACACAATAAAACTCAACGCAACAAACTAAAAATAAACAACAAGCAGTCCTAAAGAAATGAGACATTTCAAGTGTAATCTTTCAGCATTGGGATATTTGGACCGACACCACAATGCCGCTTTGTTATCTCTAAAAACTTTGATTCTTCTCATCCGCTGAGCTGGTAACTTCTCCGAATAATAGCAATGATGATGATGTTGTTAGCTTGGAACGTTGCGCCGCCTCCGACGCCACCACATCGTGCGCTCGCTCTCGTAGAGAGAGAGAGAGAGCACACCACTCGGAGTCGCCAGAATGAACCACAGACGAGAAGCAGCGATACCAACGATTGCCTCCCCCCCCCCACCCAAGCTCTGTGGTCCTCTATATACCGAGGTGTTCTCGGTCAAAGGAAATAGGAGCACCCAGAGGAAGAAAAAAAAAAGCCATGCGTGCGAGGGGGAAACGCTCTATCCCCATGGAGACGGATCACATTTCTGCTGTACCACCTCCTTCTGGCGGAGCCGAGCCACGGGCCATAGGGAGTTTTGCGACATCTTCGTGTGATCCACCAACCCTCGCTGCTGCCTCCGCCGGTGCTGGATTAGAGGCCACATGCGTAGCCACCACAACCGCCCGGCTGAATCCGGATTTAACGGGGAAAGGGCTGCTAATGCAACTTTAATTATGAAATTAGAGCTACGTTTTGTACGAGAAATTTAACAATTTAAAATACGAACAAAAAAAGCGAGCCGAACCAAACGAGCCAAATAAACGGACACGTGATCGCACGAACAAAGACAAAGATCCCCCGTGCAGCCTGAACAGACTTTTGGGGAAAGTGCTCCGAGCGAGTAGCTGCACCCATGAAGTCTGGCACGGCACACGAGAGGGTGGATGGCAAGCAACACGCCCGGCCGCCTTTGTCTCCCCAGTGCTGATGTGTTAACCGCACCAGCAAACTCATTTAAGGCCGAGATGACATTAGGAGCGGCCCAGTACCGGTTCAAAAATTCGCCACCGTCATCGGACGTGAGCGGGAATCGAACTCGGGTAGTCGGTTTTGTCGCGCAGTGAGCTAAACAATGCGCCACCGCTCTTTGTCAACACACAAACATATATGCATTCACATGCAGCCTTAAATATTTACAAATAAGGGTCAGGGTTGAGATAATGGTTATTATTAGGCTTAGTGTTAGTTCTTATTAAGATTTGCGTTCGGGGTATGAACAGGGTTAGAGTTTTTGTGAGAGGACTAGTATTATAATTATGGTTAGGATAAGACATGGGGTTTCCCAAACGCCACTACGCGCCGTTTCTACCAATTTACGCCTCCCCATCCAAACACAAATTAACTCGTTTCCCCGCTGCACGCGCCCGATGATTGCTAAACATGTGCCACCTTACCGCTCTATCACGCTGAACACGTGCACACGCACACTGAGACCTCAGTTGTAAATGGAATCGGCTCTCTGTTAACGCGCACGTTGCTAATTGCGTCACGTGGGACGTGTCGAATAATCATCGTGGTGGTGGTGGTGGAAACCCCCTGACCGATCTCGCCGACAAACTCCATCGTTTATTACTTACAAAATCTTGCCCAAGGCACCGTCGGATCTCGACCGCAGTGAGCAGCCCTTCGGGATGCGGTGGGTACTTTCACGAGAGTCGTGGGGTTACCCCAGAGGCTTTACAAATGAGGGGTAGCGTAACCCGCGCGGAGGCGTTGGCGACGCAGCAAGACACGCCGACGTCGCGTGGCACATGGCTGGAACCGTTGGGAAAACGTTTGGCCAACGTTGGGCCAACGTTGGGCGAACGTTGGGCAAACGCTGGGCTAACGTTGGGCAAACGTTGGGCTAACGTTGGCCAAACGTTGGGCCGGGTAACACTGGGTATAACGCAAGGCACATCCGTCGTCACGGTCATAATCTGCAAGTCGGGCTTACCCATGCTGACGGCTCCAGGAGCAGAAGATAATTCTTGGACAGAACGAGGAGCGCGTCGTGCCGAGTCAACGCAAAGTGACTGTGGCGAGGCGGCGTTGAATATCCACCCCCTCTTATACCAGAGGGCTGCAAGGGAAGGAGGGTCAGAGGCAGAGGGTAAGAGGCTACCGAGAATCGGTGGGTGGCGGTCAATTCGTGTGGTGGAAGTTGGGGGGGGGGGGGGGGGGGTGGGCGGAATTGCCATATTTGGACACAATGAATGCTTGTGAGTGTGTGCACATCAGTGTCTGTTGTGCGCGTGCGTGTCTTGAGGAGCCGCGCGTGCGTGTCTTGAGGAGCTGCGCGTGCACGCGTTCGCGTCTGGGTTGGACAAAGAACGGTGGCTCTCTGCGCTACGAACCCCTGGCCACCGGAGTTCGAATGTATGAATGTATAAAAAAATCGCTCACGGGCATCTCTTCTGGGTCTACTCAGACTTAAACGAATACCTGGTGCACCGGGGAGACAAAGGCGGCCGGGCGTCCTGTTCATCACTCGCACCCCTCGTGAGCCGTGTCCGGTCTCAATGGGTCCCCTCTAAACAGCCCTTACCCCAACATCCTCTGAAGGCTTTACGGGGGATTTTGGTCGTTTCATTGTTGGTGTTGTGGGTTAGTGGTTTATGGGCTTGTGTGGTGCGGGATGGTCGTTGTCAACACACTGCGCTACGAACCCGGCGACGTGCCTAAAGGGTTTGACTCGGCATCGGTGTGTGATATCATGGTGCCCTTTCACGATTGATGGCGATTGTGTGGTAACAGTGATAACAGTGCACCGAGAGCATTCGTTAGAGCTGGGATTTTTTGTGTGTGCTTAAAGTGGCTTTCGTGGCCTTTCCCCCGTACCTCCAGTTAGCACGATTGGCTACGTATGGTTACGAAATAAGTTCAGCATCGTAGTACATTCATATTCTTAGCTCTTTCGGTAAAGTCACGTTGAAGGGAAACAATAAAATAATAAAATATATATTATTTCTTAGCTCTTTCGGTAAAGTCACGTTGAAGAAAAACAATAAAATAATATATATTTTATTATTTTATTGTTTCCCTTCAACGTGACTTTACCGAAAGAGCTAAGAATATGAATTACTGCAGTCACGAAAGCTTTAAATCAAAATCTTAGTACATTGTCAACATTATCAATCGTCAGTAAAAAAAAGTATGCGTTTGCGACTGCGTTGGCAGGAAAGCACAAAGGAACAACCCACTCGAACAAGTTCCGTGTCAAGAGCGACAACACGCGGTGGCACTAAGAACCCGGCGATCAGAGTTCGACTCCCATTCACGGCCAACACCAGCGACTATCTGAACTCAGTCTTGGGCCTCCCCTAGATCGACTCAGCCTCAAATTAGTAACTTGTGCAATGGGTAAACGTAACCGTTGGAGAGACAAAGGTGGCCGGGCGTGGTGATGACCCACCTACCCCCTCACCCCCCCCCCGTGTGCCGTGTTTGCCTTTATTAGTTGCTCGCTAACAGCACTTGCCCCCAACAGCATGCTAAGGCTATACGGGGATCTTTGTGTGAGTGTGTGTGGGGAGCGGTAGTGTCGTGGTTAGCGCACTGCGCTACGAACCCGGCGACCCGGGCTCGATCCCCGCTCACGGCCAACACCAGTGATGATTATCTGAAGCGGTCCTCCCCTAGGTCGACTCAGCCTCAAATGAGTACCCAGTGCGGTGTGTAGTAAACATCGCCTCTGGGGAGACAAAGGCGGTCGGGCGTGGTGCTGGCGACCCATCCCTTTGTGTATTGTCCCGGCCTTCATAGGTGCTTGCTAACAGCACTTGCCCCTACAGTTTGTTAAGACTATACGGGATATCTTTTCCTTTGTTTTACGAGATAGAGGAAGTGTGAGGGGATTGGCGAGTGATAGTGTGTCTTTTCGAATGTCGGTGAGCGTGGGCCACTTACACATTCACATTTCAACCACGGTTATATTTTCGATACGTATCCGCATGCTACGTGCGGATTTTCACAACAGACTGTTTGGGGCAATTGCTGTGGGTGGCCAGCACCGCGCTCATCTTTACGCTCCCCGGCTCGAGGAACGTCTCATTTGAGGCTGAGTCGACCTAGGTGATGTTGGCCGTGAACGGGAAATGAGACCCGGGTCGCCGCATTTATCAGTGAGCGCGCTCTGTTGGGGAAAGTTCTGCTGGCGAGTAGCATCAACAAAGGTCGGGATGGGTGGATGGCCAGCACCACGCCCGGCCACCAGTGCGCTAACAATTGCCCCACCGCTCCCCCAAACACCTAAAGTTATGTTAGCGAGCACCTATTAGGTCCGGCACGGCACAACGAAGGGGTGGGTTGGAAAACGCCATGCCCGGCCGCCTTTGTCTCCGAAGTGGCGATGTTCACACATCGCACCAGGTACTCAATTGGAGGCTGAGTACACCCAGGGGAGACCCAGGACCGCTTCAGATAATCGTCACCCGTGTCAGTGGTCGTGAGCTGGAATCGAACTCAGGTTGCCGGGTTCGTAGCGCAGCGCGGTAACCGCTGCACCACCGCTCCACTACAGACAGCAACAACAACCGCCGTTCACCAGTAAGTGGCGGTGACGTCACCGCAGCGCTTGTGCCAGGCTAGGTGCGCTTTGAGGCCACGTGAAGTGTCGACGGCCCGCTGCCAGGTGACGGAACGGACCCAGGTGCCATGGGCTGTCTGACTGCTCCCCACTGTGCCAACGTGTTTTAACTGCCCGGCGCTCCGCTCGTTGTTGTGAGCGATCACTCCTACGCCCTCTGTTGTTGCTCGATGGCGACAGCCTCCAACTCACCAGCAGCAGCAGCAGCGTCCTTCACGAACCTCCCTCACAGAGGTCGATCTTGCCACCGCTGCTACCAGTCACTGAGCTCCACATCCTTCTGTACCACATCAGTACGCAAATCAGCCGCGCCCGTTTAGCCCCGTCTTTCCGACAAAACAATTCGCTTGGGCAATGCGGTGGCTGGGTGTGCGAGACTAAAGTGACTCGGCCAACGCCGACGGAGATCACCGAATGGGGAGGACTGTGTCCAGATATTGTTCGTGTTTTTGTTTTGTTTTGTTGCACCCGAGTCAAGAGCCGCATGGCTCACAGGGTTATCTCCATATATAAAAAGGCAAAGTTGTGATTATGTGTCTGTTCACAAGGTTTAGCGTACTTCCCGACATACAACAAACTTGAAATTTGCCATGTGGGTACTTTCCAGACTGTACACCATGCAAAAATTATAAAAATACACTTTTGGGGTTTTTTTTCTGGGAATGGGGGGAACTCAATAATGCATTTATTTTTTGTACGGCAAGTGCGCTGTGACGTCAAATCTGTCAAGTGGAAGCGTAACGCATTGTAGTGTAGTGGTTAGCACGCCACGCTACGAACCCGGCGACCCGAGTTCGATTCCCGCTCACGGCCACCACCGGTAACGATTATTTTAACCGCTCCTGGGCCTCCCCTAGGTCGACTCAGCCTCAAACGAGTAACTGCTGTGGTGCGTGAACATCGCCACTGGGGAGACAAAGGCGGCCGGGCGTGGTGCTGTCACCCACCCCCTCATACCTAATAAATGAAACTGAAATTGAAAAAAATGAGATCTGGCAAGGATCCTGTGAGCTCCTGAACACATTCTCGCCCGGTTAAACACAGAGACACGCGCGCGCAAGGACGCTGACCCTGTTTGAACCGCATCCCGTTGACGTCAACGTGACTCCCCCAGGTCGAGCGGAGAAACGTTTTTTTTAACGCAAATTCGCTTTAAAGTTGACGTTTCTTTATTGAAAGTTAATCAAATAAATAATTATACGCAGCAACAAAGTGTATTTGGTGTCTTTATTTATTCAGCACTTGATACAAAAGATAAGTCACATTTTTGCTTCTAAATCATGATAAAATATATACATTTCTCCGTGATTTTCCAGACATTGTATCGAATTCAAATTGATTACAACCCCAGCGAGCAAAAGCAGAAGAAAATAAAGTATCAGAACAGTGTTTTCGAACTAACTGAAGGCGAGTTAAATACAGTGCTACAGTGACAAGATTCACTGCCATTAATTTTACACAAGATACAATTATTACTCAGCTCATTTTTTCCCTAAATATTACAGCCTCCGTCCTAGGACGGGCAAAAGGCTAGTTTTAATACATCCATTATGGATGTAACTGAACTAAAACTATGTTTTATTCACCATGCAAGGCCCTCTGAGCTATGTAGCACTTTCTTTAGAAGCGACCTTTGCCTACAAAATGACAGCTCAACCACGTGGGCTTATCACGTGGGAATTCATAGCAGCAGCCAAACACTCTGAACGCGTGGTTTGACTGTAAATGTGGAGGGGATAACCGGAGGATCCGGAAAAAAAATCCACGCCACCACGGGGAGAGAGAGATACGCAAACGCCAAATATACAGCAGCAGGCGTCGGGATTGAACCCACGACCTCCTGTATACCAGGCGAGGTAGTTAACATCTCCTAGCCACCGTGATGATGATGAGAGAGAGAGAGACACGCAAACACCAAATATACAGCAGGCGTCGGGATTGAACCCACGACCTCCTGTATACCAGGTGAGGTAGTTAACATCTCCTAACCACCGTGATGATGATGAGAGAGAGACACGCAAACACCAAATATACAGCAGGCGTCGGGGTCGGGATTGAACCCACAACCTCCTGTATACCAGGCGAGGTAGTTAACATCTCCTAGCCACCGTGATTATGATGAGAGAGAGAGATAAACGCAAACTCCAAATATACAGCAGCAGGCGTCGGGGTCGGGATTGAACCCACGACCTCCTGTATACCTCGCGAGGTAGTTAACATCTCCTAACCACCGTGATGATGATGAGAGAGAGACACGCAAACATCAAATATACAGCAGGCGTCGGGGTCGGGATTGAACCCACGACCTCCTGTATACCAGGTGAGGTAGTTAACATCTCCTAACTACCGTGATGATGATGAGAGAGAGAGAGAGACACGCAAACTCCAAATATACAGCAGCAGGCGTCGGGGTCGGGATTGAACCCACGACCTCCTGTATACCAGGCGAGGTAGTTAACATCTCCTAGCCACCGTGATGATGATGAGAGAGAGAGACACGCAAACTCCAAATATATAGCAGGCGTCGGGGTCGGG